GGCGATCCACAGCGTGAAGTTGTTGTATTTCCTCAGCGACCAGCACAGATCAGCTCTAGGCATGACGAAGCGGATATCGTCCTCTTTTGGAAGGCCAAACAAAGTAGTTTCGCTTTCACAACGAAGCACACAGCGTCTTCACGACATGGCGGCAGCGGCAACAACAAAACTACAGCGAGAATAAAGTTAGGTCTTCTTTCTTTGCGTGAACATTTGGGCGGCGTTATGCAAATCTTCCCACATCGTGACGTAGGTATGTTGGGGCATGTTAGAACGAGCCGTTTTAGGAGGGCGTGGTTGACTCTTAACTTTTATAAAGAATATCTCTTTGGATTTGAGACTTTAGTCTTTGCAACTTTACAGATCTTCTTTATGAACCAAGAGCTTGTAACACTCCAAAGAGAAAGGAAAAATTGAAATCGCATCATATGACCCCTTTAAATATAAAGACTTTGGACACTATAGTGTGATCATAAATAAATAAATAAATAAATAAATAAATAAATAAACAAATAAATAAATAAAGCAACTGGACATTATAAAGTGGTTACAATTATAATTAGAAAAAATTTAATTATACAGGCAACATCTCCTTATGAATGAATGAATGAATAAATAAATAAATAAATAAATAGTAAGTGAGGGGGAAAATCAAAGCAAAAGAAAACAAGAAAACATCCAGGTAGTCTGTTGTTTTTTTTAGGTGGAAAATTACTTACAAATGAGAATTATAAAAGCAAAGCAATTAATCAAATCAATACAATACAAGTATTACTACTACACCAAAACGTAAACTTGGATAGTACAGTGTTCTAATAAAGTTAACAAATAAATCACAGAAAGATGTAAAGATGAGTATAGGTTTGAGTTTGAGCCTGGTTCAGTCAGGCATACACATTAGCTTCCATGTAGCAATACAACTAGAATGCAATGCGATATTCAGTCAACCGCCAGAGGGCGCCATTACTTTGCAAGCATGCTGCTCAATTCCATCACAATGTATGTGTTTTAATGAATGTCTGTACACAGCGACGGTTACATTATGCTACATGTAAGCTGAACATCACAAGTAATTTTTAACATTTAGCGTGCTACAGATAGGAAGGGTTGGTGAGTTTAGGAAAAGCCAGTTTTCAGTGGTCAGAGCAGAGCAGACTGCAGTGAGGCGCATACCTTCAGCTTAGACTGAATCTCGCGAGACTTTCTCCGTGCAAGAACCTGCAGATGGCTAGACACCTGCAGGAAGGAAGTCAGAGGAGGGAGAAAGGAAGGAAGGGAAAAAAGAAAAGAGAAGAGGGACATTGAAAAGAAGCCACTAGGTGGCAGCACAGCCATACCTTAATGCCTACTTGATATTCCCGCATTTTCTTCCTGGCTAACACCTGCATGTGACTAGACACCTGAGGCAAAACAGGACCACAGACATTTGACATCATCCAACACATATATGTCATAACAACACATCTGTCAAAATGACCAAATGACCAATGAACCATAGAGTACTGACTTTTCTAATTACAGCATTTCAGTTTCAGTGATCACAAGAAAACAGCACATTTACATTTGCACTGCTTCAGAATTTGCAAAGAATAGATATTAGACCTCTACTACAGATATAGGCAAATACTACGTTTATAAAATGTTCTGTTTATTTAAAGGTGGGGTAAGTGATTTCTGGTAGCCAATGTTGATATTTCAAATCACCAAAACAAACACGCCCCTACCCCAAAAGGGTCTCGCCCCTATTTTGATAGCTGCGCCCACACATACGTACGCAACCCAGGCAACAATTAGTTCTGTGAAACAAAGCAAAACCAATGTTACACCGTGTCTACACCGGACGCGAGTGGCGCG